CGTCGTGTCGCGTCCTGTTGTCGCTAAAACAGAGCAAAAGAGTCAGGGAGGGAGCAGAGCCTCCGGCCGCGGTGGCTCTGCTCCTCCCCTGACTCTTCGGCTCTGTTTAAGAGCCAAGCGCTACGGGCTTTGGGCAGCTCCCGTGCCTCCGGACCCTGTGCTGCCGGAGCCCGGGAGGGGAAGTGCCCAGCCGGGGGCGCAGGGTCCGGAGGCATAGGGGCTGCCTGAAGCCCGAGCGCTACCGGCTTCACAGTTTGCCAGGCAGCCTCCAGACCCTGCGTCCCTGGCTCGGCACTTCCCCTCCCGGGCTCCAGCTGCGCTGGGGAATCGCCAGCCGGGGGCGCAGGGTCTGGGGGCTGCCCGGCAAACCGTGAAGCCGGTAGCGCTCCGGCAGCCCTTTTCGCGTGGCTGGGAGTGGGAGGGAGGAGGGGGCGGAGTTAGGGCACGGTTGGGGCGGGGAAGGGGCGGAGTTGGGGCAGGGCTGGGGGTGGGAAATGGGCGGGGCCAGGGCCCCGTGGAGGGCCCTATTTTTTATTTGTTAAATATGGTAACCCTAGAATTGGGGGGGGGTTAGTGTAGTCCAGGCCACAGACAGACAGTGATTTTGATTCTTTCTTTTATACCTCTAGAACTAGCTAAGTGATCAGAATACAGGTAAATTCCTAAAGTATAGGCCTTTACAGACAGGCCTGAATAGCTATATCCTAACAATGGAATCGCCATCATTGGAGATTTTTAAGAGCAGATTGGACCAACACCTGTCAGGGATGGTCTAGATAATACTTAGTCCTGCCACAAGTGCAGGGGACTGGACTAGACGACCTCTCGAGGGCCCTTCCAGTTCTATGATTCTTTGATCCTATTTCCCATTTTGTACTTGTGCAATTGATTATTCCCTCCTAAGTGGAGTATTTTGCATTTGTTCTTATTGAATTTCATCCTATTTACTTCAGACATTTCTTCAGTTTGTCCAGATCATTTTGAATTTTAATTCTGTCCTACAAAGCACTTGCAACCCCTCCTGACTTGGTATCATCTGCAGACTCCGTAAGTGTACTACCTATGCCATTATCCACATCACAGAAGATATTGAACAGAACTGAACCTCGGACTGATCCCTACAGGGATCCACTCAATATACTCTTCCAGCTCGAATGTGAATCACTGATAACTACCCATAACTGTACAGTCTGAGTACAGTTTTCCAACTGGTTTTGCACCCACCTTATAGCAGGTCCATCTAGGATGTATTTCCCCAGCTTTTTTGAGAAGAAGACTTGAGATGGTATCAAAAGCCTTAATAAAGTAGAGATATACCACATTTACTGCTTCCCCCCATCTACAAGTATTGTTACCCTGTCAGAGAAGGATACGACATGATTTGTTCATGACAAATCCATATTGACTGTTACTTATCACTTTAGTATCTTCTAGGTGTTTGCAAATTGATTGCTTAATTATTTGCTACATTATGTTTCCGGGTACAGAAGCTAAGGTGACTGGTCTGTAATTTCCCGGGTTTTCCTTATTCCCCTTTTTATAGCTAGGTGCTATCTTTGCCTTTTCCAGTCCTCTGGGATCTCTCCCGTCCTCCGTGAGTTGTTAAAGATAATCACTAATGGCTCAGAGCTCTCTTCAGCCAGTCCCTTAAGT